TGATAAATTTCTTAACCATTTAAGAAACGTATTTCAGACTCTGCTGTGACCCTTTATCACCAGACCTAATGGATTACTTTATTAATAATGCACTGCTCTTAAAAGGAATTTTTCCGAAGATTCTACCATAAGAGAGCATTTTCGGAATGGCTATGACAAACAGGCTGACATGTTCACGTTGTATCTATTAAAGATAATAAAATTTAACACTAACTCTAAAGATGACAAATTATGTACAGCTGCCAGAGTATCAAGCCTACTTTCTACTATATTAAACCAAAATTAGAGCAAACTAATTTTCAAAAACCAGCTTCTTCTTTTGCCCTATTACCCAAGCTGAAAAATATGCCTACACTGTTTTAATGCTTGTGTCAACCAGACAACTATCACGTGTCACCGGCATGTCGGAATGGAGAACGATGACATCCTATACAGATGCCTACCCAGATCCTTCAGCTATATAGTCTCAGCAAACACTAAGAACTATTTGATTGACCGAGTATTCCTGACACTCCTGTACGAAGTATTTTGCTCCTATTAGGCCTGCTAAATCCTTCCACTCCTCCCCATAGGATGAGATTTCATTAAATACAGATCTAGATATCCAACTACAGTACCTTCTATTTCTTGAGAAAGTTTAGGCAGTTACTTTACTATCTTGTAGTTCTCTCATGCTTCTCTGCCATTTCCTGGGCCAGAGGGCACCTCTAGGCAGACTACCTCTAGCTCCACACTTGTTCAGCTTTGGAGAAACGATTCAATTTTTTTTTTTTTTTTGTTTTGGTCCTTTCTGGCCAAACCAAATCTCATGGTTTATTCTGCTGCCAAATATGCCCTGGTCTTATTCAGATTCCTGCTTTCACACTTTTACAACCTTCTGTCTCCTCTTCATAAACATATTAAGCCACCTCTGTACATTTGAGTCACAAAAGGGCACTGTGTCATGAACTAAAGCCAGGCCAAACCTCTGAAATTACACCAAAACCACATGTGTCAAGATCAAGCCCTCAAAAAAACCCAACAGGTAACCCAGCTAAATAGGTAAACACAAGGTCTTTGGTGAACTGAATTAAACATTCTTTGAATAAGCTTGTATCTGGGAAGATAGGTAGTGGTTCTTTATACACGAGAAGCTAGAGAACAATGGACCACAGAGAAGGTCTAAGTTAGAGGGATGTAGGAGATAAAAAGGAAAAGAAAAAAAAAAAAAAAGCAGCAGCTTCAGGAATATTAGGCAACAGAAAAATTAAATTCCATGTCATGTGAGGAAAAGCCACCCTGCCATTTCCCCTCCTCTCTTTTCACATGATTTCTCAAAACTTGAGAAAGGTATGTTAAAAAGAAAACAAGAGATACCAGTAGCACGTAGAACAGCTCTTCTTTCTATATGGCACTATTTATATCAGCCTTGTGTACAACCTGTACATAGCTTTTTTTTGTGCATCTCGTGATTTTTATCAACAGAAGAGAATTGCCAGGACCTATCTTGTTGGAGGTAGACCTCTCTCCATATCCACCTACCTATCTATAGGCACCTCTGTGTGGCAGCTGGCATACTCAATTGTGAATCCAACCCACAGCTCTGCTGTCCTGGCTAGGGCACTGTGGCACTATTCCTGTAACTGCCATTATACAATCAATTTCACTGCTTTTCTAATTCCAAATGCTGCTTTTCTTTCCTTCTGTGCAGGGTAAGATGGGCTCTTACACAACAGGGAACCCAACTGCTGCTCCTAATCCAGTTTCAAATTACCTAATATTCATTGCCCTAAATACCTCCCATCAACCTAAGACCCATTCTCCAACCCAATGCAGACAACCACTGAGTATCTGTAATTTTCTTTTCATTTTTAAAGAAACTATGGAAATCTTAAAAAAATAAAACCCAAGGTTTGTATACGGGTACAAGTTTAACAGGGTCCTCCAATATATTATTTACTTGGCCTACTCTTGCGATCTATTTAATCAGAGTTCTGCTTGAAAACACAAAGGATCTGTGATTTGGGGTGCTACCATCTATGCAAACACCGGGACGAACACACAGCTGATCAGTGTTTTTACAAGTGCATATACACTCAATAATTTGGTTGAAAGATACTATGTCTAGTTAACACAGTGCAAGTTAGCTAAAAGGAAACTTTCACCCCCCACACACATAACAAAGAGCTGTGATTTCTATTAGTGCATTTCATACCATACATGCTGATTACCAGGCTGTGCTTCATTGTTAGCAGAGATTACAGCTGGGATAAGCTGCAGCTTTTTCCTAATTGCTATTATGATGACTGAATTTTTGTTTTGTGTCAAGCATTATTCACACATTATACTCCAAAATTTGATCCCTCCATGATGCATTATTGATTCCATGCAGGCAATCATACTGCCACCAACGTGAAGAATTAATTTGGGCTATTCTACTTGATTTGCATTGCTCCACCATAGCAGAACATAGTTCTATACAGAAACACAAATTGAAAAGGAAGATTTAGCAAAATATGGAAAATTCTGCTATCCTTTAAGAGAGATGGGTCCTAAAGGGGGAAAAATCAAAAAACCCCAAACCCAGCACAACACGTGTGGTCCAGAAAGAAAGAAGGTCAGTCAGCCAAATTCATCTTAGTCAGTGGAAGGTTACAAGAGTAGCCTTATGCCTCTAATAAAGTAAACTAGCTTGCTTCAACTTATATTGCCAAAGAAAACAACGGAACACCTCTGAGAGCAACACTGCTTCAAAGCCTTTGAAACCCTGTTAGCTTCATTTGTTTTCCCAGCATAAGCAATACTCAACCACTTAGCGTGTCTTTTATCCACAGTCCAGTCAACTGCAAAGCTGATCTAGAAGATGTGTAACAGATGCTTCACGTCCACTTTTTTTTTTTTTTTTTTCCTAAATTCTACTGTGTTAACAAAGAAACTTATGAGCTCTCAACAGAAATAAAGCCCAGGATTTATTTTACTTTTTTTCCCTGAATAAGATCATTTCACAGTTTTAGGATGCCAACTTAACTAGTACAGAATAAATTCAGAAGGGAAAGACAACATATATACGTGCACTGGCCCCACATTGGTCAACACTTAGTCAAAATTTGATCGAATATACATACGAAAGGGCACTGACAATGACACATTTCTGCTTTGTCTCATATTTTAAAATCTTTGGGAAAAGTCCATTCAAATCTTTTCATTGTCCCAAGTGCTTCACATCAGAATGAAAGAAAACCTCATATCCCATCTCAGAAACTAGATTCAACTTATACGCACATGAATACACCAGATTGATAATTTCAGAACTCAAACTTATAATGGGATAAAGACCTCAAAATACTAGATGTACAATACTGGGTAGTAGTCCCCCCTCACCCTTGTTTTTGGGAAGCAAGGAGGGCAGAGAGAGAAGAAAAACTTCAGAAGACCTTTGGTTATAAGTGAGCATCCATCCATAATTTTCAATAGTCAAGCCTTCTTTCCTAACTGTTCTCCAGTACAGTATTAATTCAGTTTTAAAATACCAGGAGAGATACGTGTTGAGGAACAAAAATCATATCGCTCCAACTTACTAGCATTGGGCAGCTTTCACTACTACTCATAATACATGGTTAGAACCAATCTGACGTAGCAAAGCAAGTGACTTTGAATTACAAGTTATTTTTCTCATAAATATTTTAAAAAGCAATACATATATTCAAGTTAAATCAATGCTACTGCCAAAATGCCCAACTTCCAATTTCTCCAAGCTCTCTGGCTCCCTGTGAAAAGCTGTCTCCAGTCAACAGTCTTGCAAATATTCGGTAATTTCTTCTACTTCCAAATGACAACTGCCTATGACTTACTTGGTTTTTTTTTTTTTAATGTTTAAAGAGATTTCTGAAAAAAAATTGAAAGATCAAAGAATCTGGAAACATACGCATTATACAGCACATTTCATCCATTTATAAAGGTGAAATTAAACAATGAGATTATAGCTACAAACGCATGTTAAAAGTTAAGGTGTAGTTCCCACTTTCAATACACAAAGTGACACCAAGGCAGAGGTCTTTGGCAAGACGCAGCGCCATCGATGGAAGTCCATCTGGATGGCTACAGAAGCGTTCTGCTCTGCCTCTATTTTAATCTCTGCTTTCAGTGTACAAGCTATGAGGGAAGACCTAAGCCACAAAGCAGCCTTAGAAAAACCTCATTAAAAAGTTGTGATCAGACTTATCACATTCATCCTAGAAACTACCGGTGACTGAGCAGTTAAGTTGCACGCCCTGGTAGGCAACATGCAAAAGGCAGCATCGGGTCATTTGAACTACTAACTAACACTGTCCATTATTCTTTACATCAATTTGTACCCCTTAGTCATCCTTGATAAGGACTAGTCAGCTTTAAAAAAATTATACATGAAGTCCTAAAATAAGTCAAGCTCTCCTTCAGCTTCATTCATTAAATTACCTCCCAAATGAACATCCACTTCTGCCTTTTAGAGAAGGGAGTAAATTCTTAGAATAATGCAATGCTTTTTTTGCCAGAGCAGCTTATTAGCTTATTGTCATTACGTTTATAGCTATGAAGAAAAGCTGTGAGAAATAGATATTAAAGGCGCAACATTAAAGAGACCCAAATGGCATGCAATGGAAAGGCAAGAAAATCTCAAAATTAGATTTACAATAAAAGCTGTTAAAATAAACAGGCTAAAATGGATATATTAGAGTAACTTGCAGAAAGAAAAAGCTAAATAGATATTAAAAAACCCCAAATCAAGCTGTTTCTGCTATGTCCTTCAGCAAACAGAGCCCAGGGTAGACCCTTCTCGACTGGTTCTATCATGCCAGAGAAGCAATTAAAAAAATAAAATGAAGAGCAAGCATGCTTTTACCAACATAAGAGAAAAATATCAGAAGCTGAAAGCAGAGCACTCTGATATGCACAGCGTGCATCTGTTTCAAAACTATTTATTTCTACGTTAGCAGCACACAGAAGACACCAAGCACAGGCTTACACAATCTCAGCCCACCTACCGTCCTCCTTGTCCAGCACCATCATCTCCGCAATCAAGAAAAGTCCGGGGACAGATGCTTCTTCTCCAGCAGCCTCCGCTCAGGGGAGAAGAGAACAAGTCTCTGGGAACACAAATGAGCTACGGTACAGCTGATCGTCCTTTAGCAGCAAGTGAGCTCTAATTACCCAGTTGTCCAGCTTTTAACCTAGATTGCACTCAGTTAGAATTACGCTCAGAAATAAAGCACTTTGCAGATACAAAAGCAGTCTCACCTACTTTTGTGCCTCAGAATCGCAAGGAACTAAAACTGCAATTTAGAAAGAAGGGGGATCAGAGCTGTTTCTTTGGTTCTCACCTTCTAAATGGCTCAATTTACACAGTATAATCTATTTTAATGTAATTGCATTTGATAGCTCATAACCCTGGCTGTTGCAACTACACAGCTTTCAACCTTATAAAGTGTTTTCCCTTTGGATTTAAGCTGAATCTAAAATTATATTCAGAGAGGGCAGAGTCCCCAGCCTGACTACTGCTGCCTCTCTCTCTCAATTTGTGCGCTTTGCACACTTGCTATTGAATAAATGCACACATTTCCCAGGGACCCCTCCCGCGCTCCTGCCGGG